CCCCGCTGAGTATTATTGCAGCCAGGATATCATATTATAATCCTTATATTTTTAAATCTGAAATAGAGTAAGAGTTGAAGAAAAACAAACAATAGTGAAAGACACACTGCAAATACCTGACATGACTTATCTTGAATAAGTATTTTAGAAGGTCTTGTATGTTGCAATAAAAATGATAAAAAAGAAAATGAAGCATCTGAAAAGTCATGTAAAGTCGGACTTTAAAAAGGCACATCCACCAGACTTTCTCTGCAGCTCTAACAATAAATTACAGTATAATGGAGTAATAAATAAGCTCCAAATCTGACCACAAATAGCAGTCCCCATTCCTCTGGAAGCAACAGACAATGTTTTACCCGGATTTAATATAAGCAAGCCTGTGTCCAACATGTTCAAAGAAAAGCCTGCAAATTCTGCAAAACCACACGTGGTTCCACGTGCTTAGAAGACCTCAACAAGAGCAGCCTGCAAACACCAGCTTGCTTATCACCCTCAATGCCAGTCCCACCTGCCTAGAAAGGGATGATAGTATTACTGCAGAGGCACGGAGGAAGGCTGAGATGCCATATTAAAAACCAGTTCAACACAGTCCTGAGCACTGTTAAGACTGTAAGGAAAATTCATACCTTTCCCCCCTTACTGCAGCCTCAGCCCTATGATCTAGCAAAAAGATGGGACTTAATTATTTGAAATAAGCTATTAGCAGGAGACTGGGGTGAATTCAGATTTGGACAACTGGTTCCTTAGTATTGATCCTTCATCTGTAAGACTCCTGTCACAAAGCCAGAACACGGAGGCCTGCGATTTTAGGATCAGGAGTTTTCACGCCATCTGTAAAACACTGAATAGGTTTCTGGCCATTCTTCAACAGTGAAAATTACTCTAGGTCAAATATCAGGGCATTAACTGTTAATTGTTTTCTGAATGCAAGTTAATGTGAACATCAGCTACCAATCTATGGCATTCCCAATTTCTAAAGGTTAAGTTTAACGTTTTGGGGTAGTTACAAGACAGGTAAGCTCCTAGATGCTCTTTTTAAAAATACCATAGTAAACTTACACCTTACACAAGTTGGGTCGAGAGGGAGCTAATCTATACTCCCTTTGTCCCCAGGGAATGTACACAGATTAAGTTATGG